ACGGTAATAGATGAGCGCCAACCAACGAGAGCTGTTCGTGCATTAGCTCCGCCCACTGCCGAGAAACCGGCATATCTTCTGCTTGTTCTTAAAAACTGAGTAATTCTAAATGAACTCTGTTATTTTGACAGGAAAATACAACAAAGAATATGGTTTACATGTAGCGCGTCGATTCAGCGTGGTATGCAAGACTCTCGCTCTCTCTCTCTTTGCATGTGTGAGAAACACAGCGCTATCAGTAAAGCGACGGCGAGTCGTGCGCCTTCACACTAGTTTACGGTACGTCAAATACAGGTGCGCTGCGTGCTACATACTGCGCATCCATTGAGTACATGACATGATCCATTGAGCGCATCCAAATAGTACAGATCGCTTGACGGAGAGCGAAACTCAAGCGCTCAGTCAGCGTGTTTATCGAGTGAAAATCTGTGTTGAACGCCTCTCACACACATACTGGCGAGTAAAATCTAAGAATTTATTAGCCAATGGCTAATGTTAGACATTATTTAGTCGCCCAGAGTAAGATTTAGTCGCATATGCAAGTGATTTACTCGCAATGTAGAGGGTTGCAAGTGGTTATTACTGGTGTATTTTATGTTGTAGAATAAAACATGAAATTTTTTTGAGCTTTACTTCACCACAGATCTTATTTCAAGCATTTAACTAAACATCCGGTCGAAAAAACCCAATGACTTCAGCATGATGGAACCGGAGGTGCTAAAATGCAATGCGTTTCTGGGTTTTGGCAGACAAAAATATGACATCTCTGCTGCACTCTATGAAGAGAGAATCATGATGTAACAAAACTAGTTCATTTCCCATCACAATCAATAGAGCCGTCTGCTCTGTAGGCGCCCACTTCAGATGGCACACACACACCCCTTCCTATTTTTGCTGTGCATCTACTTTTATTACCGTTTTACTTTTGCAGTTCAACTGAAATAAAAGAATCTATGATTTACTAATCAAAGCACTTCCTGTATTTTTTTTTTTTTATATAATTTTAAATAAATTGACCGTCATTCAGAACCAGCTTATGATATTTCTAGTTTTTGGCCTACTAATTTAATGAAATCATTTGTTTTTTTGTATGTAGATCTGTAGACCGTTATAGCAACACTCGTATTATGTGTAAGATATATAGAAATGCAAAGACTGGACCTCTTGAAAAATGAAATACCCTTGAATTAATTAGTTAATTAGGACATTAGATGGCGCTATAAGACCAAAATAGATACTCGGGTTCCTCTTCCGTTATAGTAGTGAGCTCATTTTGTGAGATTAATATAACACTCAAATGTGTAACTGAATCACTCTCAGTATTTTGTATTTCATTTGCGTAATTCTATTTGTGTGTTTATTCACAGAAGCCAAGTTTAAGAAACTGGAGAAGCGGTGAAAGTGACCAGGAACTCATTAAAGTAGTCATCCTCAAAAGGTATCTGGAAATCTCAGATTGTTTGTTTTATGCACTAAACAATCTCCAGACCGATATCACACACACTATGGCAGTGTCATAGTCTCTAGGTTATGGATTGTGCGGCAAGTAACCTTAGATACATAATATTGAATGCTCATTTATTGACGTTACACAGGCTAGACCGCACAGGGCAGGTGTGTCAAGTGTGACATGCTTGCAGACCAACTCCTGATTTCAAAATACACATTTAAGGTTCAAAAATGCATGAATACAGATAAAGCTGTACAGTGTATTTAAAATGGCTTGTTACAGTATGTTGTTAAAAATGATTTACCCATTATTTCTGTTAAATAGTGACTTATTTTGTATGTTTGCAGTTAGAAAAGCAAATGTTTTGTTAAACATTTGTATTACTTTATTTATTTATTTTTTTTCAAAATCTTAACTAACCTAACTAAAATAAAAAAAACTGAGAAAAAAAGTGTGAAGTTAATGTTATTACATATTTTAATATAGTGCAGCTAACAAATATGTCTCACATTTTCTACCTTAATTTACTTTTTATACTGCTGCTTTTGTGCAATTATGATTAATTGCAGCAGCTGTTAAATGTTATTGATGGTATGGTCATGCAAAAGTAGTTTTTTTTTTATGTTTGTTTTTACAACATCTATGAAATGCT